TTAGATTTGTGGGTTAAAAGATGTGTCTCTACGTGTGTGTCTCTATATATACACCCTCCAAATCCCTGAAGATTTCCAGTGCTTTTAGAAGTTGTTTTCAGAACCAACTCTGTGATAGCAAGCTGTTTTCTAAAAGTCACTGCATGCTTTCTGAATTTAACAGCACATCAATGTTTTATGACAAATTTTAATCCCCACTGGAAGCACAGTATGTGTAAAAGGCTTTGAAAAAAATAAAAAAAGAAGTCAGGCACTTGCTTAGAGCTTGTCAAAAGCTTATCTGAACTTGTAAATCCTTAGAGATTTCCCTTTCACCGTAGGCTTTAACTCTATCTCAGTATCAGTACAAGTTTTCAGTGCCAGTACCAGGAAAATGGAAAGTATTTGAACTAAAAGGCCAGTATCTAATGAATAACTTTGTATAAGATTCTCCCATTGCCCCATGCCATTAGATTTTTTGAGTGCTGAAGGCACAAAGTGCTCAGTCTGACAGTCAGTGCAGCCAGAAATGCATCAGGTCTGATGAATTAATTGCTGCAGTTCCATGCCAGCAACTCTAGTCAGAGTGTTGGTAAGCTTCTGAAACAATCTGAGAGCAATAATTATGTATTTGTAATTAATTGTAGGTGTAACAGAGACCATTGCTCCAGGGAACTGTGTGGAAAGGGAGTGAGAGGGAGTATCTAAGCCTTGCCTGCTAAAATAAGTGGGCATAAGTTATGGAATAGCAGAAGAAAGCTGATTCTTAAGCCTTAAACTTGAAAGACTTCCAATTTTGAAAAGAGTAGAAAGGCTTGGTAGGAACAACTCTTAAGTGAAGAAGCCTCCAATCTTCAGAGAAGTGGGAGACTATCTTAGGTGAAAAATATTTTGTTGATATTATTTGGGTAGAGTCTGTCAATTTCTTTCCATTGATGCAAAAAAAGACATTTTAGAATGTTAAATCTGGAGCACTGGGGCAGTCATCAAACTGTCTGATGGGAGGCACAACTAACTTGCACTAAATTGGTTGCAGGGATCACAAAATATGTGAGCTGATCTTCCTCTTGCTGGTCTTGAAAATTATTTACGTTTTTAACTACTTGATCTTATTTATGAAAACTTTAACTTTTAGCAATTGATATCATTAATCAGAAGTTGTGTCAAGCAGTAAGGAAATTTTCATATGGCAGATTTAATTTTTTTAAAAATTCAATTAAGTGGATAGGATAGGATTAGAGAATACCAGAGCAGAATACTGAGATTACTCACCACATGAAGAATTTTATTTTCAGTTTCGTACACTGTACAATCCTGTGGTAAAATAAAACAAAAACAATTAATGCACATTATTTTCAGTTTCCTGTTAAGAAAGAATGCTTCATGCCAACAAGTATCTCTTACAGATTTACCTATTAAGACAAGTGATCTTGAGTTTTGTCATATCCAAAAGGTTACTTTACAGTCTTAGGAAATTTGACTTCTCTGGTGGCTGGTTAACCTCAGGAATCTATTCTTCAATACTAGCAACAATAGAAATGTAAGGCAGAGGGAACTGATTCATGATGGTGAGAAAAATAGTAATTTGAATTTCTGATATGTCAGATTAATTTTATTAATGATGCACAGAGCAAGAGATACATTGCCTAGCCTTAAATGAGGCAGACTATTTGTTAGCTGTTCTACAAGTTGTGTGGGGTGCAGACAGTTGTGTTACCACTAGGTAGACTGTGTTATTATAAAGCACAGGAAGAGGAAGCAGAATAATTGTAGAACAAGTACAATTCTAAAGATGTCAGCTGTGGTGTGTCCACACTGCCAGTTTGGTTTGCTTCACCCTTTGCTTCAAGGCCCTGGTTATCTACACAATCCACGAGGGACAAGACACAGCAGTGGTCCCATCTCTTGAGAGGAGTCACGTAACTGCTCAAGCTTTGGGCTTTGGAAGACAAAAGTCACAGCAAAAAGGAATGGAAAGGACAGAGGAGTGCTCGTGGTGAGCAGTGCTCCAGGGATACTCAGGGGATCTCGCTGTCCTAAGGCCTTCACAGAACAGCCCCACCCCAGCACTCCATTGCACAACATTGCTAGTGACTAATTTAAAGTTGACCTGAAAAACAATATTCCTGATTAATGCCTTTATTTACTTAAGACCTACAACTTCTAGAGCAGTAATTTTCCTATTTTAGTTACCATTTTCAGAAAAAAGAAACCTTACCTCGACCTAACTTGAGTCTCTTAACTCCTGAATCTCTTCACTTGCATCTCAATTTAGTGATATTAGAGTGACTCGAGTATTACTTCTCCTTCATGAAACGAAGCATATACATACCTAAAATAGATTCACTGCCTCTACTACTCATTAACATTTGAAGATTCCCTCAGTGCAACCCTTTGTAAGGCAGGAGGGAGTCAAGAAAAGGCGGCATTTAACCCTTTCCCTCAGGAGAGGGCCCAGGGCAGCTCTTCCCGCCACTCAGCCCTCCACATCACCACGCTGGCTCTACTAGCTGTATTTCACTAAAACATACAATTAAAAGGAATATAGAGAAAACTCGATTTCGCTAGACAGAGTGAGGTTAGAACAGACTGGTCACCTCTGGGGCCACAGCCCCCAGCCCGGCCGGGCTCTCCTCAGCCCCATGGCTCCCGCTCCCTCCGACTCAGGCAGCCCCTCCACTCATGGTGAGCACCTTCCTGTCAGCAAACCGGTGCTTTTCTGCAGCAGCACCTGAGGAGGAAATGTTCCTGGCATATCCCTGCACCTCCCTGTGCTCGGGGACCTACATCCTGGCCCCGGGGGGAGCACCAAAGCCCTGGGAGGGAGGAAGGAAGAGGCCGCCACAAAACGCCCTGGGGATCAGGCAGGGTGAGATCCTCACACCCAGAGGCCTCTTATGACAGGAATCATGCTCTAGTGGCACTCATTATTTATATTCAAGTGAATTAATGGTTAATCACAGAAAAACTATACCAGGAAATTGCAAAATACTTCTCCAGATGTGACTTTGGGAAGTTAAGGATTTCAGGAAATCCATTTAAATACGTGGATGTGACAGGTAAAAAGTTAATTGCTTTAAACTTGCCATGAAGTAATTCCAACATCCTCACTCCATTTACTCCAGAGGTAGATGAGCAGCTCAGCCTGTGGTACAGCAGCTCAGATCCTCAGTTCTGTCCCATCTACTGCTCAGCTCTCAAACCTTCCTCCCAGGGTGCTGCTTGGAGGACCTGGTCCCTCAGCCCATCTGAGGCTGCTGCAGAGCAACTTCAGCCTGTCCCAGTCTGGGAGAACAAGCACCTGTCACACCCTCAGCTCTAAGGGTCACACTTGTTTTAGAGGATTGGCACCTTCACAGAGGAAAATAATGTCTAAGTGAATACAGGTTAAAGAACAAGAAAGTTAAAATCAGAAGATTGTGAGGAACACAGAAGAATTTACATTAGCAGTTCATGGCCAAGTATCCCTTTGATGTTTCTTTTGTATTCAATACTGCTATTTTCTACAGCACAAAAGAAGAATTCAATTAGTCAGTTTGGTTGGCAATGCCCAAGGCAGTCTTCTGACAAGTTTTACACACTTCAAACATCACATGCACCATCTTCTTTTAACCCTCCAAGTACCAAGAGAACAAAATTATCACAGCAGGACTTGCAGATTGACTTCAGAGCTAATGGTCCTTTTAAAATTATTCCTTTAATTTCTGTGCTAGAAATACGAGCTTCATTCTGAACAAACTTAATTACTTCAGGTCAAAAACCAGAGGACTTATGAAATTTTACTGTTTTGTAGAGCAGAATTAATGCTAGCTATACTTATGTTGCACATTCAAGATTACATTAGCATTAAAAATGTTAATGGCTTTGGGATTCCTTCCAAAATAGATGCATATTGACTTTTTTCTTTTAAAAACATCAGACTAGTTTAACTGAGAGGTTAAAAGCATTTATAATATTCTACTAAAATATTAAGATATGTAGGTCACAATATGCTTCTGATTTATTTTTCTCTGATACATAGCCATGCACTAGGGATCTCATTAAAATAAAAGATCTTCCAGGACTGACATTTGTAGAATTTTGATCTATTTTTCTTAGAAAATAAATAACTGTTAAAGTGATATTCTTTCCTATATCCTCCGTAAAACAACATGTTAAAACTGTTCTCAGAGTTAAAAAAACTCTATGAAAAATTAGTAGCTGTATTCTATTTCCCCTCTGAAAACTGGTAAAATACAGGAATTACCAAAGATAATCAGAGTAGCAGGATTACATACAAGCCAGCTTCTGCACTACCCAGAACACCCTGCCTTCCAAAGGAACACTGCACCTTCACAACTCTGATAAGGTAAACCAGCATTCTTTTGAATATTCATAAAGACAAAAGGGTCAGGAGGAGTCGTGCTCAACCACACTGCATTCATCATTTTAGTTCTGACTTCCAAAAGTAAAAAAAATATGCAATTACCAAAGAAATTTGCAGATACCATCAAGAAAGTTTCATGGCAGATCTTGAGGACACTTAACCAACACATAAAAATACTAAAATATTTAGTTCATTAACTTAGTGCATGAGTTAAGTCAACTACTGAAAAGAAACAAATCCTATAAAAGAGCAGCTCAGAAGAGAACTTAAAACCTTGTTTTGTTTGCCAGGTGAATGTCATTCCCCAAAGTAACACTGCACTGAAACCTACCACAGTTTTTGAGTGGTGGATATGATAAAGTGATCTTTAAAATATATTGCCTGCATACATAAAATAAAACAAAACACTCTTCTGGAACTTATACATTGAAAATAATGAGATTCTCTGAAATGAGGAAAATATACACCAGTAAATACACTAAAGTAACTTCTTTTACTTGGTTTAATTACATTCTTGATCATAACCTATATTTCCAAGTAAAAGAAGTTACTTTAATTACATTCTTGATCATAACCTATATTTAGAAAACTGTGAACAGATGTTTGATAACAAAATGTTCTTTAGAAAATGCAAGCAAACTAAGATTGAAGGGCTGAAAGCTGAAGTCTGCAAAGTCCAACCTTTAAATAACACCGTTTTCAGTGACAGGTGCTGAATCACAGAGTAATTCAGGTAGAAGGGACCTCTGGAGGTTGTCTGGTCTGACCACCAGCTCAGAGGGGGGCTGATTTAGAAGTTAAATCAGGTACAGGCAACTACCAATGAACAACAATTTCGTACAATTGCAGTACAAACTAGAGAGTGTTAAAATCAAATACTTCATCTTAAACATAAAGTATTTGACTAAAAATAAGGTAAAAATCTAGGATATGCTCTCTGAATTTACTTCAGTGATGTTAATTAACACAATTATAGGAGAGAACAAGCAAAAATGCATTTGGCCTTTGTTGGAAAAAAGCCTGACTTGTGGTGACATTCTCTGGTAAGACACAGAAACTTTTTGTCTGGAGAATGTTTGTTCGTGCCATTTAATGCATGTATCAAAAGGAGCTGTACAGGTTTAAACATCTTTGACATCATCAGGAAAAAAAACAAACCAGAAAACCATCTCCTACTAGAACAAGTAAATTATTTTTATTCAATGAAAAATTAACCAACGGTGATATTTTATGAACAAAATTCCAGTGCTGTTCTTCCAAGTCAATAAGTTGTTCTTCCAGTTATCTTTCCCCAGGGCAGGCTTGACACATGACCAAATCCAAATCCAAATTCAGTTCAGTTAGGCTGGTGGATTCATTTTCAGAGCAAAAATGAGAGCTAGTCTACCTTGAAGCTGGACTTGAAGCTTGACTTCAAAATGAAGTGAATGGATATTTGGAATACTCTGATCTAACGTGCTTTTTTTGCACGTAATCAACAAATGTTGATGGGACTCTGCACCTCAAAATTAGGATGTTTCTTCAGCTTTCTGCATAATGCAATTCTTTTATAGCATTTTAGTGAAGGTGAGATTGTGAGGGATGAGAAAACTGAGTAGAATAAAGTACATTCCCAAGCATAAACTGGCATGGATAAAACTCTTCTAAAAGAAGAGGATAGAGATCAGTGTCCTTATAACCACTACAAGAATATATTGTTCCCAGACAGACAAGTGGCTGCTAATTTGTTGCAGCCTTTCCATGGTATGTAAATAATAATATCCAACACTGCAGTTCATCTGTTCAGTTTAAATATTAAGATGTTCATACACAAAGAACACAATCTAAAAGCCAAAACATCTACTTGCCCATTAGGTCTAAGAGTATGTCACTCAGACACATGATGCAGCCTACCAAGAAGATGCACAAGCAGTGTCTCTGTTAAACTCCCATCACACAGTGCTGCCCCCAGTTTAGAAGGAAGTTCACGTGGAGTGGCAGCTTTAAGTTATGCACACAAAGCATGTTCATTTTGCACAAAAATAAATCTCCAGGTTGAAGACATTCCTCACTTAATGTGCCAAATGCAGAACCTCGACTGCTGCTTTCACACTGACTAAATATCTAAAATGTACATCATTCATAAAGCAAGGAGTATCTGAAAGGATCTGAGATCTAGGTTTCTATTAGTTATGCCTTTCAATTCATATTTTAGCCTACCATTAAGGCTGCAGCTCTGGTTTAGGAGAGGTATTTCTGCTTTCACACATTAAGATCAATTTTCCTCAGATTTAGGAACAGCAAAACTGTCTCCCTAGGAATGATTTTGTTCTGTTCTTTTTGGGGCTGAGTTTAATACACTATAAAAAGATCTAAATAGATGACTATCAAACAACACAGATCTGAGAACAAGACGAGGAAAAGACAAACTTTAATTGGTAACTGAGCCAAAGAATTAACTCAATATTTTTCAGCTTGGAATGTTTTGGAGTTTATGATAAAAGGTAGATGTTTTTTTAAGTTGTCAGAAGGAGGACAGCTCTGGGAGTGGAGCTGAAGAACTGAAAAAAAGAACCAGTCTATTGCTGGCAGAGAACTGAATTACATCTGCCAGAAGCAGTGAAATGACCAGGAGAAGTGGATACAGCAATTCAAAATTATATTATTTTCACCTGGACCACAGGGAAGTCAAAGTTACACAAAGTGCAATATCAGCTGAAGGGTGGAAACAGAACCCAAATTTTTATACTGTAGAGAAGTTCATTTTGCTTAGTCTGTAAATCAAAAATAGCCTAATGCTATAAACACCATGTAAGAGAAAGCTTAATAAAGATACATAAATAATTAAATGCCTACATAGGGATTTTTAAACCAAGAAAATAGAAAAGGGATCTTTGATTTAGACTGCAAAAATGTATAAAGGACAACATTTCTAAAAGGGATAAAACTGAATATTATAAATTAAGAATAATCCTGTAAAGGAAAAGACTGATCTTTATCAGCCTTAGTTATTTTTCTCCAAGAGCTAAAATGAAATTAAAGAGGAAAAAAAAAGAAAGTTTGCAGGATGCTACTACTCCAGGAAACCTTTTAAATTAAATTAGTTCTGTGATTGACCTACTGGGAGGTTACATGGAAAATAGCCCAGGACAGAGGCAGGTGATGGACCCTGCATATTGAGGCAGGGTCAGTTGAAGGGGGTTACAAAACTAAGCTTTAGCTAAGGTTTCTTCTTGCTTCCCTGCTACAGTCCTTTTGTCTTTTGCTTCATTCCAAGACAGCCCCATCTGTTCTCTAGCCTCTCTACAGCTTTCAATAATGTAATTTTTTCTTATCAACATTTTTATCTACTCACAACAGGAAACTCTTTGTAAATATTTCTAAAACTAATTTCCACTCAGTCTTTCTGTAGCTGTGTCACCTCTTGTCTTAGTTCAGGTGCAGACACTGTCAGACACTCATTATTCGTATACTACCTAGCACAACAGACCAGGTAAGTTAATCTTATATACCTATGGATTGTATTATATTACTTAATGAATGTCAGTAATGATAATACTACTACCCTTACTTGTTCCATATTTGGTTTAATGTTATAAATATTTCATATTACTCACAAAACAGCTGGCTTTCCTTTAAGGGAAGGAGCCACAGGTTCTGGATATATCTGTATGTATTGTATTTCCCTGAAAGCTTTTTGATAATTCATATTCTAATCTATAATACACTGTGAGCAGTAGTAATGCTGTTCCCCACTGTGGCTTTGTTCTTTTGTTTAACACCTGCTTGGTGATATGTAACTTAACATGAAATTGTCTACTCAAAAGCCAAGTGGATTATTTTTAACTTCACACTGTCCTTCAGTCTATCCAGGTATACAAGGATAAACAAAGTCCAAACATCTTTTTGTCACTCCTGGAGAAAGAGATTATGCAAAGAGCAGAGAGGTAACACTGAACGGTTTTTCTGGCAAAGTGAAAGCTTAGCAATGTTTTACCTACTGCAGTTTTTAAGCAGCAGTATGAAGGGGGCTGAGAGTGGAAGACACTCTTACCTGTTGCACAATGGTGGTTAGTTCCAGGCACAGTTGAACAATGTTGTTTTTCAGCAGTGAATATTCTGTCACGCTGACAAATGGGGACCTGTGGCAAAGCAAGGACAGCTTTATACAGCAGCAAGGACTGTAACTCCCGTGCACAATGTGAGCAGATATATATGCAAAACAGGGATCAGCTCTGCACAACAGAGATGTGCAACACCCAGTCATGCCCATCTCCAGCAGCCAGCTATGCAGCTTCTGTAAAACATGACTTTGAAACCAGAAAAAAATGTAGGCAGGATGTAAATTGGGTTTTGGCCAGAATATAAGAGGATACAGTTCTTGTGGAAAGTGGAAACAGAAGCTTCCATAAGTAGTTGAGATTTCTCTTTTAGGGCTCATTTAAAAGAAGGCATCTCTAGTACAACAGCAGTCTGCAGCAGCAGTCAGCACCTTGATCCAGAGAGCAAAGCAATGCTCACTTAGTCATTAACAGCTTCCTGCACACTTGGATTTTCTTCAGGCTGAATCTGACCCCATTTGAATGTATAAGAGCTGACAAGGTTGGAGCCCAGGAGAATATGACTGCTGGCACTAGGTTAGGAAGATGTCACCAGGATTATACAGATCCTGTGAAGGAGTGTGAGTCACTCTCACTGGGATTTCTAAGGTGCCATCTATCCATTCAGAAGAATTCTGAACCAGGATAAAGCTATCCCATGGTTATAACTCCAGAGAAATAGAAACAAACTATAAATGCTCTGATGCTTTTTTATGTTTTGGTTTCAGTCTTTCCACAATTCAAAAATTAAACAAACCAGGAGTGGTTGATTGTTGAGAATTAACCAACACCACAACTGTACTTAACACATTCATCCTACTCTTGACAAAACTCTAATAAGAAAATTTAATTTTCAAGCTAAGTGAGTACTAAGATTTATTTAGAATATCCTTAATTTAATTGCTCAAGAACAGCCTTTTTGTCTTTTTAAAGGCTGAAGAACAGGTCAAACTCCACAATTTTTCTTCCTTACCCTTATTTCTGTAATTACTGATGATGTCATCACTTCTGGCACTAAGACAACTTGAAATAGTATAGAAGTGTTCCTTTCACACAAAATACTATCAGACTGCAAAGAATCTAAAAAAGCAACTGGAGAAAACTTTAACATGCTCCTGACAGAGAATTTGCCTCCAATATTGGAGAAATTTGCAAAACAGCTGCCTTTTTTTTTTTTTTTTTTAGAATGAAAGAGTATATGAGAAGAAGAAAGAACAAATACAAAACAACCCCAAGAATTATACTCGTGCACAAAGGATCAAGGAATAGTAAATTACCTGTCCAGCCAGGCTAGTAAGTTCTTGGCAGCACCAATCAGGTCAACTACAGAGGTAAGAAAATCATTTGGCAGTCTTCTGGAGGCCCTGCCATCATAATGGCCACTCCTCCTTCTACCCGTTATAAAGTTCTGAAGATTTTTGGCTGAGGCATTCAGCTTGTGAGACAGAGTCCTCAGGTTTTCAGTCTCCAATCCATAATTCTGAGGAAAGCTGCCTTTTTTTTTTTTTTTTTTTAGAATGAAAGAGTATATGAGAAGAAGAAAGAACAAATACAAAACAACCCCAAGAATTATACTCGTGCACAAAGGATCAAGGAATAGTAAATTACCTGTCCAGCCAGGCTAGTAAGTTCTTGGCAGCACCAATCAGGTCAACTACAGAGGTAAGAAAATCATTTGGCAGTCTTCTGGAGGCCCTGCCATCATAATGGCCACTCCTCCTTCTACCCGTTATAAAGTTCTGAAGATTTTTGGCTGAGGCATTCAGCTTGTGAGACAGAGTCCTCAGGTTTTCAGTCTCCAATCCATAATTCTGAGGAGAAAGAAGAAGGTACACAGTTAAGTGAAATAGCATGTTGTCAGCTAGGTGACCAAAACTGAGAGGTTACACGTGGTGAGTGGTACTGGCTGAAAGGACCAGATGTGCCAGATGTGACTGTGCACCCACCCTGTCAGCATCACCTCCTCTGCTGTCATCAACACCCAGTGCTACAGCCCCGTGCCCATGGCTCCACCTAAGTCGCTGAGGGGAAGACAAAAAGAAACCCCATGTGTCTCAAGGCCTTTCCAGTGTTCCAAAGAGAAGATGAGTCAGTTCACTGCCCCCTACCTGCTGTGGTGCAGGGTTAACCAACCATTTGGGTGTCTGCTACCTTGGAGAGCAGCTCTTGGCAGTCCTGCTGCACTGGATCTCACTCAGATTTCTATTAGTCCCTCTGCTTATCTGTCATAACTTACCCTTAGTAGAACTTCCCTTTCACTTATGCCTTGAATTAGGGATCACATTTTATATAGCCTTAATGTCAGGCTTTTACAGGAAAATTCCTTCCTCAACCTGAAAATCAGCTTTCCAAGTATGAATTGATTGCCTGCTATTAATTTCAACTATGCATAAGCTACAGAGAGTAACTGATCATGAATATAAACTTTAACTTTTCCACCTAATCTTCTTCCTCAGAACAGAGAATAAAGAACCACAAACACAACACAATTTGACTCATAACAAGCTTATGAAACAGGTTGTAAGGAAGTCAAACAAAATACAAACAGATATTTGGTAAAGTTGTTCAGACCACATGTACCTGGTGCTTAGGACTATGCCTTTTTGCCAGCCACAAAAGCTCACTCTGAAAAATAAATCAAGCCCCTGCCTCCAACTTAGAGGACAACCTACAAGGAATGGAAACACTTTGCTATCTTAGTTATCTCACTGTAAAGAACTTAGATTTTGAAATAATTTTAGATTCTAAGGACAGAATTAGTTTAGTTGTTATATATGCCTAAAGCACCACAATCAGTTAGGGAGGTTTGGAAGCATCCAAACTGGATAGTGAAACAAAAGAAAGCCACATTGGTTTAGCTACAGACAACAATTATCTTCATGGTTTTTTTCCAAAACAACCACTGTACAGTCAGCACTAAAGTAAACCATTTCATTTTGGAAAAGTGTAAGGTAAAAAGCAAGTTGTATTTTATATTAGTACACCATCTGCTTCATATTTGCAGCTTATCTTTCTTTTTTTAAAGCACTGAAGGAGTTCCCTCCTCTATTTTTCTCCCTCCTTTTATTCGTGCCGAGGTGATGAGTAAATGGATGTACTGGGACACACTGACCAGCTAATAACCAACTAGGCAAGGTTCAGCTTCCTCTCAGAGGGAGTTTGATGTTGCACACTCAACAGCACCTTGCAAGGATGATAAACCAGATCCTCCTCTTTTTATTTCCAAATCTAACCTTGCTTATCCCTGTGGAATAAAGCAGAAATGTTTCTTCTAATAATTCATTGCTGCATAAAAGCTCTGAAAACTTGTCAGTTTACTTTCAAGAAAAGCCAAGCAGGAAGGGAAACAGTTTGACCAGTGGATCTATAAAAGCCAGTACAATTTTACTAGAGACGAAGTGCCTGAATTCTGCAGAAAATATGCCAGGTACCAGCAAGAGAAATCAACTGCTCAAGTCATTGGAGAACACAGAGAATTGAAAAAAAAAAAATAAAATTAAAACCCACCTAGAGTGGAAGGTTCTTAATTTTATCTGAAAGTTAATTAATTAACACACTGGTGGCAACCTCAATTAATGTCAATATAAAATTTAAAATATAGCAAAGCAGAGATAAAATATGTCCATGAAGATAATCAGGAGATGAAAGGAAATGTTTCAGTGCAGCAAAAGTGCTGATTCAAGTTAGTGGTTTAGCTGAGACTTAGGAAGGGGAAAAGATTAAAATATTACAAGGATGACAGTGAATCAATGTCCCTAGAAGACAGAGACATTGTATTGCTCTAAATTTCAGCTTGTCTCAAATCCAAGATCTTAAGGTTTAAATGAAGCAACCATTACCAAATGGGGAAAAGAGTTGTTAAAAATAATCCTTTAAAGTATCCTCTCCAAGCACCTCACCCTAATGCCCAGCACCACAGCTGCACACCCTTCCTCTCCTGCACCATCCAACGCTACGAAGCCCCCCAGGCTCCACGGACAGGGCATGAGAAAACTACTGCAAGAAGCTATGGCCTCTTTCAGGCTTCCCTGGGCAGCAGACAAGGTGATGGGATACAAAAGAGTTTGCTCCAGAAAAGAACAAAAAGAGGGGTCCACATATTGGAACTGTGTTAATTATGATTCAGTGAACGTGTTCAAAAACATGGATGGAGAAGTTGCAGTTGGTGACAATAAGTGAGCAGGTGGGCAGTCTCGTCCTGTGCACATGACACTGCAAACATCCACATCTCTTCTAATTCTTGTAGGCATCTCATCTGGACAATACTAACTGAGAGAGTCTTAAAACTGCCAGACTAAATAATTATCACAGCTACCATATCAGACTTCAGTTTTCGCACCAATATATTCTGCTCTGGCTCTGTTAAATACATGTTGTTATTTGGAGCCACACCATAGAAATTATGCTCCTGAGCCCATAAAATTCTGTTTCCTGGCAGGCAATTTCCTTTTTGCACAGTAAATCCAAGATATAATTTCTGGTTTAAAAAGAAAGAAAAAAACCCCAAACCTCTCAAAGGGACAAGAGGGTGTCATTAGCACAGGCAGGATTATTATTCATATCAAGAGTAGGGGGAAAAAGAGACAAGCAAGGTTTGCTCCACTCCCTAGTTTTGTTTCATGCTGCTCAAGGTTGTTGCACAATCATGTTTTACCAAATTATTAGTGGCAATGGACATAGAGGTTTAGAAAAGAAATACTATTAAAGCAACCCCAAATGTTGTCTGTCCAGGAGCACACAGCCAGAGTTTGTCAAATGATCACAGAATCTGGATCATGAACCTGCTCAGTGAGAACAGAAAGCAGATTAAAGCCAAGCTCACTCCATGGCAGCAGAATGGTCTGACAGGGACATTGCAGAAAGGGTGACTGCTGGAAGAGAGTTACAGCACATCTTGAGCACAGAGAGATGTGACTGGTAAATCTATTCAATATTTACTTAAGCTTCCTCACATAAAAACACTGTTCAAACACAGTAAGAAATCTGTACATCCACTGAGTATAATATTTTATATCTATGATATTAGTACCCTCCCACAAAACAGAGTTACCAAATTATCTCATCTGTTCCGACTGATTCAGTAACATATTTTAGGTTGGGGCTCAGCAATTCCTCGTGCTCTATTCAATGACAGTACTTGGAAAGGATTCCAAGAGGTAGAACTTAAATACAAATGTGAGAGCAGAGCCAGACAAGCTTGTTATAGAAGAATATAATTAGTTGTAATAAAGCTGTGCTTAAAGTAACACTTGTTGGTGAGATGTACAACTGACTCAGGTCTAAGAATAAGTCTGCTTGCTGCCTGTAAAACACGTTCCAATTTTAGCAATTTCATTCCCTAATTCTCCCATTTTCAAGCTACCAGTGAGGATTGCTGCCACCCCCTTCCTCCCCTCTCCTGTTGCAGTTTGAGATGCCTGCTTCAGTGCTCCTGGTGCTGAGGGTTAGTGCAGGGTGGCAAGAGCAAAGAGACAGGACAGATCACCTCCTGGGATTTTGCAGTTCATCATCTTGTTTTTTGCAAGTATAGAAAAAGCAGGTGGCTGTTGTCAGAAGTGCTAGAATTCAGGTGACAGTAGAGAAAACAAGGGCTTTTTTAACACCCTGAAAAAGACTGCTGTTTTTACTAGAGCAGAGTGGAATATACAATGCAAGAGAACAGTTGTTGAATACTCCCTATAGTTAAAAATTGAAGTTGGAAATTGAAAAATAGGGAATCTGCCTTCAAACAGATATTTCTTCCTTTTTACCACAGAAACCTAAAATGCAGAAAAAGCTAAATACACTGTGACAATCAACCCTCCTGCTCCATGTCTGTATCATGATTCTGGTAGGAAGTTTCATTCTTAAAAGAGCATGGGAAAATGGAGTAATTTTTTTAATCTGACAATATGACACCTGGGGGTTTTATACATTCAAAGAAGTGGAATGAAATAAAATTCAGCTACAGGTTAGGGTGTTTTCATATCTTATTGCATGCATGTAATAACATCACAAAGTGGTATTTTTATGGTAATAAAACTATCTGCGACTATTTTTAGCTTCTAAGATAAAATAGTTCAACCTAATTTAGCAAACAGTGAGGTAAAAAATATAACAGGATAACAGATACACAGCAAAAAAATTGGTAAGTGATAAGACTTTTGTAAACACTTGAAGATCAAAAGCAAAGCAAGGAATAACTGGAATAGGAGTTTGTTTCTTCTGTGGAAAAACCCCCAGAGTTATGTATTTAAAGGAACTAATATAAAGAGATAGTTTTGTTATAATGTGACATACAGAGGTAAAAAGTGTATGTACATTGAAATTGACTTGACACAGGATATCATTTTAGCTAAATAGTTGATATTTCTTAAGTAATTAACTTTTAAATTTAAAACATTCGTTTTTAATTAGTTTTTTCTTGATGTTGCCATTCCTGTAAGAAGTCAGTGTGATGTATGTATTAATATATTTCTTAATATCTATAAACATGTGGATGAATACTCAGCTTTTTCTGTAGGTGATACTTTGAGAATGTTAGGATTTCCACTAAACTGTAAGGTTCAGAGAAACAAAAGGCAGAGCAGAAGACCTGACTGGGGAGGGCAAAGGAAACAACCCCACTGAAATTCAAGCATTTTACAAGAAGCTCACCATGGTAAGGCATCTAAAATTCCCCCAGCCTAAATACTGGGCTCCCCTCCCACTTTCACGTTTCGTGCATAAACTTCAAGAGTCCCCACAGTTTATCCATGCAGCCCAGCTGTGGTGGCCTGAGCTGCAAGTCTGTGTTCCAGACAGCAGCAGGAAGACCTGAGGACCATTTCCA